GCCTTCACTTGCATACTTAAGTTCCCATTTCACATTACCTAAAGTAGTACTGATTCTGACTGAAAAGAAAATTGAAAAGAAAATTGAAAAAAAAATTGAGCAAGTCAAAGTGTGGTGATCTCATAGGCTCTTCAGCTGGTAACTGTGAGAATAACATTAGCTTAGAAAGTCTAAAAATTACTTTTTAGTTTCATTTAGATGAAACTAAAAAAGGAGAAAAAGAAAAAAAAGTAGAATACTTTTCTGGTTTAGATAGATATTACTCTGGATGCTAAAAATAGATTTGCTTCTCAAGAATGGAAGGGGTGTGTATTTTCTTGCATTGTACTGGCTCATATAATTCTTACTAAGAAAGTGTTAAACCTTACCAACCATAGATAACAATATTTTGAAATTATTAAAAAAAACCCCAAGGTTCATCCAAGCCGGATTGCACCAGAATTAACACACATTTGGGAAACATGTCATCATAGTGGTATCCAGAGACACTCTTAAGAAGCTTAGAGATCAGAGGAGGAGATGAAACAATTTGAGCTTCATAGGAACTTCACATGACTAAATACTGATGCAAAGACCACTTCTAAGTAAAAGTGGATGGATCATGAAAGCATGAAATCAAACAATTTCTGGATTTCAAGAGAGGACTGAAGAGTAAGCTTTTCTATGAAGTAATATATAAAAACTACTGTGGCAATGATGCAATTGAACAGCTATTTTTTGGAGTTCTCGTAGACCTGCTGTGTTTCACTTTGTCCTGGAGAAAGGATTTTCTAGTTCATGCAGGTGCTTTCATAGTAAGGCTGGCCAATGAGTAGAAAGAATAACTTTTTGTGCACTTGCACAGATCTAATTTTTTTTAATAACTCGTTTTCTGTTCCAAATACCTTTTTAAAATTCCTGTAATAACTTTTCAGCCTTTCTTTCTGACAAAGTATTACAGTCCAATCAGCATTAAAAATACATTTGCTTAGTTTTAAAGGTCATTCAATAGTCACACGCCAAAGTATCTTTAAAGGTAAAGCAGAGCTTGAAAACAGATCTGAAGTGTATTTCCTCAGATGACATTTGGCTAGAAATCCTATGCAAAATTTAAATTATTCTTTTACTGTCAGGCGTACACTTCTAATTTCTTAGAGGCTGTTAGATATTTTATACTCATGAGGAACCTTACTGCAGGCAAATAACGTAAATCCTACTTGCTGGCTATACTAAAACCACAACCAAAGGAAATACATTACAACATGCTGCATGGAGGATATGTTCATGTGCAAAAACTATGGAAACCTGTAATTATTTCTATCCTAGGTGGGCAGAATTAATTTCAGATTTGATCACCCTGCTGCATATCAGGATCACTGAATATGAGTAATAAGGCTGAACATGAGCCGGCAGTGTGCCCGGGTGGCCAAGAAGGCCAACAGCGTCCTGGCCTGTATCAGGAATGGTGTGGCCAGCAGGAGTAGGGAAGTGATGGTGCCCCTGTACTCGGCACTGGTGAGGCCGCACCTCGAATCCTGTGTTCAGTTTTGGGCCCCTCACTACAAGAAGGATGCTGAGGTGCTGGAGCGTGTCCAGAGAAGGGCAACAAATGTCATGAGGGGTCTGGAGCACAAGTCTTATGAGGAGCGGCTGAGGGAACTGGGGTTGTTCAGTCTGGAGAAAAGGAGACTGAGGGGAGACCTTATCGCTCTCTACAGCTACCTGAAAGGGGGTTGTGGTGAGGTGGGTGTTGGTCTCTTCTCCCAGGTAACTAGCGATAGAACAAGAGGAAATGGCCTCAAGTTGTGCCAGGGGAGGTTTAGACTGGATATTAAGAAAATTAATTTCTTTACTGAGAAGAGAGTAGCGAAGCATTGGAACAGGCTGCTCAGGGAGGTGGTGGAGTCACCATCACTAGAAGTATTCAAAAAACGTGTAGACATGCTACTTCAGGGGACCGTGGGCATAGTAGTGTTGGGTTTGTGGTTGGACTCGATGATCTTAGAGGTCTTTTCCAACCTTAATAATTCTGTGATTAGGAGGTACAGAATAACTGCGTTAACAGAAATCTGACAGCAGCAGGCACAATGCTGTATTGTGAGAGTAACAGACAAATCTGCTGTGTGTGGCTCGTTGACACGACGTGCAGGCCAGGCCTACATTATCATTCCAAAAAAAAATCTTCCATAAAGTGGAACACAGCAGTTGTATCCATCTTAGTTGAAATGTAAGGCAACAGAATATCAGTCTCTTTCAGATACCACATCACATCTGCTCAAGCAAAATTACATGCCAATGTTAATGAGGGACCTCAGTTTTCCCGTTAATGATGGGATTTAGTTGTTTCACAGAAGTTAACAGCCAAAGATGAAAGTTAGAAGCTAGAATCCTAAAAATCCAAACTGCAATCGTTTCTTCATGCTGTCTTCAGGTAATACCATCTTTGCCTTCATGAAGAAGAAAAAGGTAGAAGATGGCTTTAAAGAAGCAGCTTTAAAGGTAGAAACTTTAGAGAAAATGGTTGAATATTTTAATACAAATATTGCCAAACTGTGAAAATGGTTCTCTTTCCGAAACATTACACTATAAAAATGCAAAGAAATGTACTGGATACTGATAGACCGCTACCAAGCGGTTATAAACTAGGGCCAAGCATATGCCTTGCTTTTACCTGGAATAAATGGTTCCTCTGTCCTCTAAGGAAAACTCACAGTGGAAAAAGGCAAGCAGGAGTTTAAGGCCTTGCAGGACTGGAATTTTAAGAATAAAAACAAGGTATGAAAAAAAGAACCAGGAACTAACAAAGTGCATTTGTATGTTAAAAAAAAACCCAAACAAAATCAAACTGCTGAAGAAATAGTAACAGATCACCAAGCTGAATTACTGGGACAAATCTATCAACCCTTATGTCAATTATAAAATATCAAAACCTGTGGAACTTTTCTTGTAGGGATGTGAAGAACACGCATTGTTATACTACCAATGAAGTTGGTAAATTTCCATGCTTCTATGTCCCCGTCCTGGTCTTCCAAAGCTGAAGATTTAGGAAAGTGCTTAATTTCTGCCCAAAGAACAATTTAAGACAGACTTACAATAGGCAGTGCAGCCTTAAGTGTCTATAGGTGTGAGGGTTCAGCAATAAAAAAAAAGCATCTGCAGTGAGCAATTAGTTCCATGGAGCCAAAAAATAGCATAGTATGTTCATATGAAAACACTGTGTTACTCGTTGAGAAGGTAAGCCACAGAAAACATACAGCAGTCTTCATTTGAATCAGTTTCTTTTTGGAAAGTATGTAACATTTTTCAATTACTGAATTTTTTAAGCGTTAAAAAGATCGAGGAAGAAACAAACTTCTTACGATGTTCATTAGTTTTGAGTTTAGCAGGTGATGGTGACTATTATTAGATGACTTAGTTTTGTTTATTTTCAGAAGCAAATATGCTGCTATGATGAAAGAGGAAAGCATTGAATGAATAGCCTTTTTGTTTTCTAGTCAAACAATATTTAAAGCTTTAAATAGCTTATGTACTTGTTAAATATAACTTCAAATATATCAAGGGCAGACTATTTATTTTAAGTGCCTTTATTAAGAAACACATGAGTCTATACCCTCTTGAGCTGTGACCAAAGGGAACACCCTTGTCTCACCTTACTAAAAAGCAAGTTTACTTCCCACACACTGGTCTTCCTTAATGTCCAGAGAAACCATCTGCATCTGCAAACCATGGTAATACCCGTGAAATCCAAAAGGACTACCAACTAGAAAGTTACAGGAATGCATCACATTTTTAAATGTGACATACTTTTCAAACTGAATAATGAAAAGTGTTGCAACAGAATATTCTACTTGCTAAAAATATTTGGATTCAGATAGCAACCCCAGTCCCCAAGGACACTTACAGGCTTTGCCCACCACTGTAAACATCGTCTCCGTCATGACACTCATTTTCTTCTTCAGGCTCCATGAGAGCCTCTCAAACAAGCAAGTGAAAACTGCACATAAATCCACCATTTTGGTATATAATGAAAAAGATAATCTGAACTGCTACCAAATAAACCACATCCAATTGACCTATTTTTCCATATAAAATACGAAGTCTTCACAAACATTTATTTTGCAGTCAATTACCACAGAATAGTTTTTCTTCTCCACTAAAAGTTCTTTCCGCTCAGTGTCTTTGAATCTATCCTTATTATTTATAACAGCAGCTATAGTTATGTACATTCTCAGAGTCCACTTAGTAGACTGAAATGTATCAAAACAGGAACAGCTGTATTCTGTCAGAGAGCCTAGAATTATATCCCTTACCCAGGGAAATACCAGATGTTCACAGAAAAGCATGAAGAACCTACCGTAAATTACAGACTTGCAAAGATATTTTCTGTCTTCCCATAGCAAGACTCAGTCAAGTACTGCTGTATGAGAATTTGCCCTTGTTGAAAGATATTTTTGTTCTTACATGAAAATCTAATCGCTTCTCAAATGCTGTAACCCTGTGTGCTTCCCTTCTTTAAAAGTGTGATCCACAGGAAATCTTGAGTATGTTCCTAGAATTTTATTTTTTAAATTGTCTTCTTGTTTATTAACAAACTGCTGATGACTTAAAAAAAGAGGAAGGGAAGAGAGGGAAACCTTTTGCATAGAGCTTGGCTTTTTTTTTTTCCTCCACCAACATGGCAAATCTGTTGCTTCCCTGATGGACAACAATTCGTTAGCATTGACTTAACTGCTACCGCAACTTCTTAAAGTGGCGAGTAGAAAAATTCATATGCAATTAAAAAAAATAAACATACACACATATAAATACATGCTTTCAAGTTCTTGCAGTTTGATACACTGCATGAACATGCAATTATTTCTCTAAATTCAACAGGCTGAGTATAAAGCCTATCAAGACAACTTTGCTTTCTTGTTGAAGAAACATGAATTGGCTTTTGCTTCCTATTTGACTGATCACACAACAAACCATTAATAGGAGGATATTCACATTTCACAAAATTAAGGACTAGACACTTCCAAGTTTCCGACATTTATTAAGCCTCATCAAAATACTTTCAAACACATGACCGAGTGCAGCATGAGGCAAGTTTGATTATTTCCTGGATAATTAAGCATGACAATTGTGCGGACGGCTTCCGGAAGACCTTTCTGTGCAGCTTACAGAGATGAGTTTGTTGTTCAGAAGTCAGGACGGTCCTTTTTCAGCCTACTGTAGTCTACATTAACCGAATAGAACTATGAAAGAGAGGGGAGAAATATGAGTAAGAAGCTTGACCACCCTTTTCCATTATATTTACTAAAAAACATGCATCATTTGAACTCCCATCAGGAAACTGAGATCATAGTTTTGAGTCTGTACACTACAGAATAACAAATATATTCTAAAAAATCCAAACTTTGAAGAGCAGTAACTTTTCAATACTACCTTCATTCTGCATATAGTACTAGAAGCTCTTAATTTAAAATGAGGCAGTGCTAATGCCTACAACTACAGAAAAACCACAGTACCTCTTCTTTAATCCCCAGAATCAAAATTCCATTCACAGGAAGTTCTTACAGTACTGCTGAGTTTATCCTTTTTGCCCAAAATCTATGTGCTCTTGTACACCTAAGGCAACACCTAGCTTGCCAAGAGGCATAAAGCATGGTGTATGTGAACAGATACTGTCACAGGGGAACATTTAGAGCAGTGCTGTAAAAGCCAAGTTTGGTTTAAGTAGCTGCATCTAGAACTGTAAGGTACAACAAGCAGCAGATCCCTTCACACTCTCAGTTTATATTAATAAAGTTGGATCCCATTACAAGCAATTCGAAACAGCCCAAATTGTCACTAAGGACGATGAATTTACAGACTAAAAGCATATTTTAGCATCCCAGCCTGACTTGATACAAAGTATGTAATGCTATGGTTTTTCCTTAAGAAAAAAAAAAAAAAAATTATCTATTAGCTTGATTATTTTTAGTTATGCCCGAATTTATTTTTTATTTTCTCTGAGGTTAAAAAAAACAGCCTACAGCACATTCAAATTACAGCTTTCTGTGCAACTCCTACAGTAATGATCAGATCTTCAATTCTTTTCTTTGGGAAGACTGAGGGAGTTGATATGACAAAAAGAAGTTTACAAAAGAAAAACAATTTCATCAAAAGCTAAAACTTATTGTATCAGAATTTTTTACTAAACAGTCATCCCCAATTTAGATTATGTGCCTTTCCATTTCCCACAGTGCAGATTTGGAAAAAAAAAAAAAAATCCCCAATGATACACACACCCAAATATGGTAAACCCTGAGGTTGTGTTTGCATGCTAAGACAGAAGGGGAATGCTACACAAGGCATGCACTCTTCAAAAGAATTTGTGCTGCGCACTATGTTAAATTTGCCTCTTTTAGATATTTAAGAAACAGCAACTTTCCAGAAGCAACAATGAAAACCAAGTATTATGTTCTTCCTGGACCTTTAAGGGAACTGCAACATATTTTATTTGGAGTGTGGAGGTTTTTTTGCTTATTTCAATGATTGGAATAGTAACATATGGTACTGAACAGACAATAGTTTTGAAAACACAGCAGGTTTTCTTTTTAGCAGCTTGAGGATAATCTTAAAATACTCTGAACAGGAATCTACTAAAATACCACTTTAGTAAAACATGATAAAAATATGATTTCTATGAACTACCAAATCTTTTATGTATATTTGCATGTTTCCTCATTAGTTCCATGAAATAACTTGAATATTACTTAAAGAATATTTCTACTGCATCCAGTTACTTACAATTGTTTTCAAATAGTCAACTGTAGAACAGAATTAGTGTTTATGTTAAACACTGACATTTTCCTGCTTTGCACCTCATAAGTTAAGTCCAACAGTTTAGAGCTCAGAAACATTCTGTTCAGAACTTGTGAGGTTTTGTCCTTCTCCCAGTAGTTTATTTCTGAGTATTATGAGGTAGTATATTCTTCCTCTCACATATAATTCCTCTTTTTCTTACAGTGCAATATATAGACTGCTTCCATATAGACTCCTTTCACCCCATTATCAACCAACTCTAGGAAAGTTTTACATCCCAAACTCAGCGCTCTCTGCTGTGAGTTCTAGAGACAAACATGTTGCAAAGCAGAGGACATACATCAGCCATTCAGCTTCTCTCCAATATACTCAAACATTCTAAAGAATTAGGCTACACCTTTGATATTATGTTTCCTAAAAATCTGTATTTTTCATTTTACCTTGTACTGGTCACTGGGAGCCAGTTTGTTCCAAGGTTCTGGATTATTTTTCTTATCCCAACTATTGAGAGAAATGCAAGATATGAGAACATATTAAGAGAATCACACTACCTTCAAAATAAATAAAATTCATATGTGTACTGTAGTTATTGGGCCATGGAGAGTCACCCATCCAAATAAGTTTCCACAGAAAAAACACAGTCCTTTGTCAGCAGTCTCTAAATATCGTATGGTAAACAAACAAATCTCCAGATCAAGGAAATCTCCACCCACTTAGTGCCAGTGATAACAGAGCAGACCAAGGTAGCAAAGTTTACTTCAATATATGCAGCAGGAGGACCGGGCACCGTGAATTATTTTATACATACCAGACATCAGGGTTGAACACTGCCAAACGCATGAGATACAGGGCTGCGCCAACACCTCCGGATCCAATGATCACAAACAGAGGGATCAACTAGAACAAAAAAAAAGTTAAATGTCATACCACAATATAACAAAATAATATTATTAAACAGCATTTCTGACTACAGCAATGGCAAACTAGAGAACAAGCTCAGACACTTTGAGCCGTAATGCATAGCCCTCTAAAACACTGTCATAAGCTCCCTGCGTGCAGGACATCCCTGGGGTCAGAGAGGAACTAGGCACTAAGAAGAAACAGATATGAAAAAAACACTGTTACAGGCAAAACCACCAAACGTCCCATATCAACACGTTTCTGAGAAACAAACATCAGTCCCTCCACTGCCCAAAACAGCTCCTACCACCTGTATCCCTAGCCATAAAGTATGACTATGG